TATAGGTGTGTGCACCTATGCTTGGAGGCCAGAGTTGACATAGAATATGGGCCTTTAGCTTTTTGTTGTTATTGTTGTTTGGTTTTTGGTTCCACCTTTTTAGATATTCTCCACTAAATCTTTGATTCAGCTACACCGGCTGGCTATCAAGTCCCAGGCATTGTCCTGTCTATGGTGACTCCATGCCAGGCTTTTTACATGAATGCACAGAACAAACTCAGGTTCTACTACAAAACAAGAAGCACTTTACTGACTACGCATCTCAACAGCCCCTAGAAATTATATTTCATTAACTATTCCTACAAAGTAAAGATTTGTATCATCACACCTTAAAAGAAAAACTGACAATTCTTCTTCATTAAAAATTCAGAGTCTAAACTATCTGTATTTTTTTTTTTTTTTTTTGGTTTTTTGAGACAGGGTTTCTCTGTAGCTTTGGTGCCTGTCCCGGAACTAGCTCTTGTACACCAGGCTGGCCTCGAACTCCCAGAGATTCGCCTGCCTCTGCCTCCCGAGTGCTAGGATTAAAGGTGTGCGCCACCACCACCCGGCTCCAGATATCCTTTTACAGTTAACTTGCTCAAAGCACCATTCAATGAAAGTCCATTTATTACATTTGGCAGAGAGCCCTCCAAAGGCAAATTTAAATCTTAGTTTCTTCTTCTGTTCTTACTTTCTGCCATTTATGTCTGAAAGAAACATGATCATTTCTCTCTTGAAACATGAAATATTTTTAAATGTTTAATTTTGGTGGTGTTGGGGTTTGAACCTATGGCCTCATAGATACTAGCAACCGCTAAGCAAGACCCTCAGTGTGCTCATTCATTTTATTGTGCTTGTGATTATGATGTAAAACAGCAGTTAGGGCGATATCAACTAGACAGCACCTGACACAGAAAAAGTACCCAGTGTACATTGAATAAATTATTTGACATTCATGTCAAAGTCTAGCAGCAGTAAGTGGAACCTGGACCCCCTGCTTTCTAAACACAGCAGCACATCAAGCAGTCACTATTAAGCAATCAGAATTGGGTAGAAAGCATGTATTTATTTTTATTGCTTGCTTTAATGCCCTTAGAAGTGTACATCTACTTCTAAAACAAGAGCTGACCATACTTTGTATGTTGAAATTCAGCAGGAATGCAGTATAATAAGTTAGAGTGTTTAAGTGTGTTTAAATATTTCTTTGTTTATTCTAGATAGTTGGGCAAGGGAGAACAAACTGTAGCAAAAACAACGAAGAAGATGACGACAAAGAAGGAGGCAGAAAATTATGGGAAACTAGAGATACTACATATTTTTACAGTTAGCCACATCCCAAGAGGTTCATTACAAAATAAAAGCAACAACAAATGCTTTGAAAAGGAAGTAAATTCCATGTGTGTTGGATTAATTTTTAACTACACAAATGGTCAAGATTAACTGGCAGATGTCAGGATTTTCTCATTTACAGGCATAAGTACATTCTATTTTTCTAAATGGTATTGTGAGGTGTAATATTACAGGATACAAGAGCTACAAGAGACTTCAGCCAAGCCTAATGATCTGAATTTAATCTCTGGCCCCACGCAGTGGAAGGAAGAGAACCAATATCCACAGTTGTCCTCTGGCATCTACCTGTACGGAAAAGCTTCTGTAGGTGGGTAACAGACGGGCATCTTCCACACACACAAAAATAAAATGAAGAACCCTGTTTGTCTGAAGTAGAGCTTGCTGTAGCATCATCATCATCATCATCATCTAAAACAGCCTGTGCAATGTTCTGAGAGAACTACTTAGTCTACCAAAAGATTCCAATCTTCCAGAATGGAGCATCCCTAGGGAGGCTAAGAAGGAGGATTTTCTGTTCAAGGATAAGGTGTCAAGGATTCGGTGGGCTACAAGGCAAAATCTTATTGGGGTGGGGGATCGCCTAAAACAAACAAACCTATAAATCCCCTGACATTCACTCAAGAAATTTCATGCTTTTTCTCTTTACCAAAAACTCGTTTCACCAGCACAAAAATTACTTAAGAATTTCCTAAGTATAATATGCTAGCCAGTATTTCCAACTATTGATCTACTTAAAATAACACAAAAAAGACTAAGAGATGACTTGAAATCACATCCAGATCTTTGAATGACCCGTACCTGTTTTAAGGTCCCACATATTAGCGTGTGGGCTGAGGGAGACTCTGTCTAGCAGAGGTCAAACTTTAACAAAGAAAAACAACAAATTGTAAAAACTCTACCACAATGTCTAATAAGAAACTCTAGAACAACGCAAATCATCTGAAAGCATGCTTTTATTTACTCTTCTGTAACATGAGTGGAGGGTTTCCTAGAAACAGAAAATGCTATGTGTAAGTCACTGTCTGGGGCTTCAACTAAAATTTGGTTGAATTATTTATAAATGTTTTCAGGAATCTTTACTATTGTACTTCCTAAAATCTTTGTCAGTTTTCCTTACCTATTAATTTTCCTTCTTCCAATGGTTTTTCTTAGAATATGCTTTATGTTTCTCAGTTAAAATTATAACTGGAATAAAATATTTTTTCTCCAAAATGACTCCCAAAACCACCTCAAAGGCCATTTACAATGCTTTAACATAATCTGTGTGCGTGTGAGAGAGGGAGAGATCTCTGTAAGTCTGACTGAAGGGATAGGGCCTATTTTACCACTCCACGGGAAATGTATACACATGCTGGACAGTTTCCAATGCTGTCTTGGCTGAAAGCGTCTCCTACCTACAGAAGCTTCTATCTGCAAATCTGTTCAATGGCAGAACTCTACAGCCCTTTACAGCTCTCCACTGCACCGTCACAATGGGGCTCGCTCTAAATCAAAGGACTCAAAACACAACTGACATTTTGAAAGGGAAAAGGAAGTTGAAACTAAGGTAAATGGAAACATTCGGAGGCTTCCCCCTGAAACCTGCCTCAGTAGCACCATTTCCTGCCCCATATTTTTTGGCCATCTGTTTTAAAAGTTTCCCAAAGAGCTTGGGAAACCTGCAAAGCCAAAATTCACTTACTTCCTCCTCTGGACTCCTGGGATCGGGCTGAGCAAAGGCACAGTTAGTAGTTCCCTTAAAAGTACAAATGGCCCTGAAAAATCTGGTTGGTAAGTACCATGGAAAAAGTTCAAAATAAGGTTACTTAAATGCCAATTTTAAGGAGCACATAAATAACCCCCAAATATGCAACTAAGGTGGATTTTCAGTTTACTGTTTCAAGTCAATAAACAGAACAATGCTTCTATTACACTAAAAACCTAGGTGTAAGTTTCCTCTTTAAAAGCTTAAAGTCGAGGTGCTCTAACCATAACATGCAATCTCCCACACACTTAACTGTCCCATTTTCAAATTATTAAATGTATCATCCGTCAACAAACTTCAGAAACAGGATAGGTTGGAGAACAGGGAAGAAAACAAGGTCTCACTTTCATTTTCTGACACACCCACCAGATTAAAACCCAGGGGCTGCTATACATTACAAAATTAAATTATCCAAGTGAAAATACTGCTACTACAGTTCTGAGTCTCACACAACTGAGGAAAAGAACTTGTAGAAATAACATTTGATTTATACTTTTCACATCTTCCAGTCAGTACCAAAATACTTTAAAACCTACCGGGATTAACTGCCCTCTATCTACTACAGATGTGAAAAGAAAACAACAGAAATTTATCTGTTGTATTTAGACAACCAGGAGGTTTCAAGTATGTGTATCTGAGGACTCTGAGAAAATATTTTCGGTTACCTGCAAAAACGTATCATAAACCGAAACCGAAGAATTTGAGGAACTGCACCCTTTCCATAATTCAAAAACTTTAAACCCACACTACTAGGCAAACTCAGTCCCACGCGAAGACAAGACAATGTCCTATCTGTCACAAAAGTACCTGCTCCGAAGACACACACAAAGACGTTCTACTAAGTAAGTAAAGAGCCTCTGACCCCAAACAGACAGCCTACTGATACACAAAAGCTCCAATTCTCGGTATGATCAAGCGTCCTATGGATGACGTGCTCAATAATAATTGGTAAGGGGAACTATTGGGGCTCGAACCACAGCGCAAAACGCTGTGTTTAGTGACTACAACGTGTTAAACGTAGGCTAAGCAGAAACTATCCCCTCCTCTCCTCATTGCTCTCCGACTTCCTAAGAGTCCTGCACATACAGACATAATAGATGGCGAAGTGAGTTTATGGCGTTGAGTATCTTCACCACTCGGAACATATTCCAGAAACTTCTTTGAGGTTTTAAGATTCAAACACTATTTTAAAGGAATTATTGTCTCAACTACCTAACAATTACCCAGGCTTCCTTCAGACTTCACTTAACCTGTAAGTAAAATGAGCATCTTTAACTTTTCCACAGGGCATTTAGAGAATGAGTTATTACTCATAAACGCTTTCCGAGCCTCAGACACCAGGCGCGGTACATCAAGCGTATCCATCAATTTGAGGGCTTTCTGGACCTCAGTTTACCCACTTAGGGAAACGGGCTTGGCAAGGGCCCGGGAGGCGGGATTAATTAATGTTTTTAAAACGCTCGGAGATCCAAAGATGAAAGGAAATGTGAGAGGCACACAGAGATGATGACAATAATCATAACAATAAAAAGAATGACTAACTTGGAAGTCTGCGTTATGTAAGGAAGCAGAAGTTAACCAGATTCACACAAACAAAAGAAAAGCCCACCGCCCCTTTGTTCCCCTTCCACTTGGCCGGCCTGCAGCCCGGCCGCGGGACCGAGAACCGGGCAGCCAGCCGGCCCGGGGGGCTCGCAGCCGCCGCGCGGCCGCTCCAGCCGTGGGGGGAGGGCGTTCCGGGCAGCTCCTCACAAAGGCGCTTCCTCCCACAGCGCGGGATGCGGCGCCGCAAACTCCGCTCCCCGCCGCCTCCCCGCGGGCGGCCGGGCGCGCGCACAGCCGCGCCGCCACCGGCACAGCCTCGGAGGAAGTTCCGCGCCGCCGGGCCCCCGCGCCCCCTTCCCCTCGCCAGCGCCGCACTCACCGGACGACGGCTGGGGGCCGGAACGCCAGCTCGGCCCGCCGCGAGGAGCCGGAGCGCCGACACCAGGGGCGCGGGGGCGGCGCGAGCACCGGTTGAACGCAGGCACCCGCGGAGCCCGCCGCCTTCCCGCCAGCCGCCGAGCCCCGCGAGGCCGAGTGGAACGCCGAGCCGAGCCGAGCGCCGAGGAGCACGGACCGGAGAGAGGCGCGGGCCCGCTTTGTGGTGAGCCTTCCCCGGGCTGCAGGCAGATCCGGTGGCGCCGCACAGCCGCTGCAGCCGCTGCTCCTGCTGCTGCTGTTCCTGCTGCTGCTGCTCCCGCTGCTGGTGCTGGCGCTGGAGAGGAGGCGGCGGCGGCGCCCCCAACGGTCCCTCCGCCTCTAACCGCCTTTGGGTCACTGACACACACTGGGAGGGAGGGGAAGGGACTAGTGGGAGGGCGGGGCACAAGAGGACGGGGCAGGGCCACATCGGGAGGCGGTGCCGAGGAGGCTCTTGGGAGCTGTAGTTCTCCGACTGAGAGAAAAAAGCGTCTATTGTGGGGGCGCCTACGGCTCGCTCTGTTGCGCATGCGTAAGGGCATTGGGGCGGGGACTGTTGCCATGGTCACTGGTTCACTAAGCCTGAAGGTTCAGTACTGTAGTTGACTAAACAAGGCTGGTCTTGTGTCTTTGGTGCCATCGGGTTCGGGCCCTTAGCCAGTCTCTCCTGCTTCGCCCCACCCCCAACAACTAGCCTCACCACTTTCAAGTGCCCAGTGAAATCTCACTTCCTCCCGACATGGCAGTCTCCCTGGCTGGTCAGATTTCTTCTAGAAATCATAAATACCCCTTGCCTTTGCCTCCTTCAAGTGAATTAATTACACAAGACACTAGGTCTACTTGTTCTTAGCATTTTAACAATTAAGTTATAAAACGGTTAGGAGCATGGCCATTAACAGAATCTCATGATTGGTTTGCTCAGCTAGTTACATTTAACTTTAGTCCAGGCAAAGGTGAAGGTCAGCATTAATAATATCGTTTGATCATTGTAATGCGACTTGCTCATCTTAAGAAATCTATACTTATTCAGACATCCAGATTCCATACATAGAAGTTCAAAAGCTAAGTGGAGAGTCTAAGACTTTTCAGTGTACATATTAGGCAATTTTCCTTTGGTAACAAGAAACCTGAACCACGGTCTGGGTATGTTGTTGGGCTGCTCAGCTAAGCCTACACCCATTCTAGTTGCCCAGGTATGTATATGTGGTGGTGGTGGCGAGAAGTGTGGAGATAGCCAGGACAATGCACTCCTCCAAAGGAGCTGGGTTCAATTCCCAACACCCGTGTGATGACTCACAAGCATCTGGAACGTCAGTCCCAGGGAAGCCTTTACCATCTTTTGGCCTCATCAGTACATAATGCAGGCAAAACACCTATATTTTAAATATTTTTAAATAATGTAGGTATTTAAATAAAATATTAAAAAAAAACAAGTGAACATATTTACCATGTGCTAGACACGTTATTGAGTCTTAAAAATAGAGCAAATATATATATATGTGTGTGTGTATATGAAGCATATTTTGTATTCAAAGTCCTTACTCTGCCCAGGAAGAGGCAGATGAATGGACTCAGTGTGAGCTATGCTGTCATAGGAAAATGCATACGACCTCAGCCTTGGGCAGGGTCAGGAAATGCTTCAAAGATCATTTGAATGTGGCGATGACTCACAGTTTTTATGTTCGTGTGTTTTAGAGGCAAAGAGGAAAGAGAGAAGAGAGCATAAAATGCAAAGACACAAAGGCTCTTGAGTATTTTTTGCTAGCCGTGGTCGACTGGCACTGGGGAGAGAGGCAAGAGGAAACTCAAAAAAATCTACAAGAGACAGCCAAGCCCATTTAAGTCTTGTGTAATATACTAAAGAATGCCATCTTTTTTTCTTCTGGAATCAGTAGACTATAAACATATGAAGTTTCGAGAAGATATATGCTTTATAAAAATCAGTCTGTGAGATGTAGTATGTATGAAGATATCTTAGTTGTTAGTCTTACCATTGTTGTGAAGACACACCATGGCCACAGCAACTTTTATAAAGAAAAACATTTAAGTGAGGCTGGCCTATAGATTCAGAGGTTTAGTCCATTATTGTCACAGCAGGAAGAATGACGGTGTCCAGGCAGATGTGGTGCCGGAGAAGGAGCCGAAAGTTCTACATCTGGATCTGCAGGCAATAAGAAGAGAGAGACACTGGGCCTGGCTTGAGCATCTGAAGCCTCAAAGCCCACCCCCCAGTGACACACCTCCTCCAACAAAGCCACACCTCTCAATAATGCCACTTCCTAGTGACCAAGCATTCAAATCTATGAATCTGTGGGGGGCCTTGTTATTCAATCTGCCACAGAAGTCTATTGAAGTATTATTGGGGGATGGATAGAGACGAAACTGAGGAATTGAGTGTAATTAAGTCCTACTAAGAGAACAGAATTCTGTGGTGCTTAACTGCCTGTGTTTGGGGGGGTTATGATGACGGGAAGTTATGGGTGGGGGTGCTTTGGTTGCAGGCAGAAGAAACCAAACTCCAACTGATTTAAGCAATGAAGAAGGATTTTTGACCCACCTAGGTAAAAAAAAAAAAAAAAAAAAAAATCCAGGAAAGGGATGGCTACAGGAGGATTAACTCAGCAACCCAGTCAGTAATTAAAGGCCTGCTTATTCTCATTTCCACTACTTTTCTTTCCTTAGTATCAGTTTTATGGTCAAGTGACAGCTACCAACAACTCCTGTTTTACCATCTGTGTCTAGGAAGATATAAGAAGAAAGTCTCTTTTTAGAAAGGACTGAAACCTCTTTCCTTAGAGTCGCAAGCAATTGATTCCCGTGCCTTCACATACATTGAGAATGATGGTCAGTAAATTGCATGAGTTTATCTCAAGATGAAGACACTTGGGCTCCAGAACTGAAAGAGCGAGTTTGCCAAAGTTAGGATGAAGCGGTGTGGTTATCCCAATAAAATTATGGTCATTGCCCAAAATCAGCAGCATGGAGGCTGAGAAGGGCATCACAATATCTACTACAAGGGAGACCCAAGAATGGCTCCCATACTTCCGGTTTCCAGGTTTATAAGCTAGTGATGCCATTCCTTAAATGAGGGGATAAGGAGTGTCAGCTGCTTTTAGAGAGGTTTGGTGTGGCGTCCTTTGGATACATTGAGTCTGAGACGTATCTGAAACCTCTAGATGGAGGGGATGTAGTGCCGAGTCATGGGCTCTGGAAAGGGATCAGGGCAGTAACAGACACAAGTGGACTGACCATCATAATTGATTGCTGTTGAAATTGCGGGGAAGGATAATGCTGTGGTGTGCGTAACATAAAAGGAGGAATCAGTAACGGAACCTGGGAGAACACTGGCTGGCACCGAAGAAGCACACAGCAAAATGGAGACTATTCCCAGGAAGTAACAAGAGAACCCGGCGAGCAGAGTGGCAGGGAGAAGTGGGGGTGTACCAAATCTGTCACCAGGTGTGAAGTCAGTCTACAAAAAGCCATAAGGACTAATGTGATAGGATTAGCCATCAACAGTAAAGAGGCTGCAATAAGCTTCTTCCATGAACTGAAAGAGAAATTAGAGAAGGGGGAAAAAATCTGAAGACTAACTTTACAACTTCTAAAATACAAGTGTTGCTGGATAGAATTAGAACTCAGAGACAATTAGCCACCGAGCAAATTAAGTCAGTTAAAAGAAAATGAAAATGGTTGCTTGAAGACAGAGTAATCGAATTTCTCTGAAATAAAGCACATTAAACACACCACACACACATTAAAGAAAAAGTCCCCAAACACTAAAGAGAAAAGTCCCTCAAATATAGTGTGGTTTGTGGGATAGTACCAAATATTCTAATATTTTTGTGATTGCAGTCCCTGGTAAGAGAAGAGCCAGCAGCGGGTGACACAGAAGTGATTTGAAGTAACGTGTCTGAAAATACTTTATTATATGGCGGAAATTATAAACCCGCATACTTGAGAAGTTAAATGAACACTAACCAGGGCACATGCACACCTTTATGAAAACCACTGCAGGACTTGTGAGATGGTTCAGTGGGGTAAATGTGCTTACTCCCCAGCCTAACGACCTGAGTGCTGGAAATTGTAACTATATGACGAAATATGAAAGAGGCCCCTCATTAGAAACAGTCTAAAGATCATCTAAAGCAAAACGACAACGCTGCGTGATAAGGACCACAACATAGGCAGAAGTAAATGTATTGCAGCAAGCAGCTCTGTGGGCTGAAGGAGGAAATAGAATCATATTGTTTAGACAGAACTGTGGTACACTAGAAGGGCACATTCTGAAATATAGAATAGCCGTCAGAAATAAAACAAACATGAACACACAATAGTGAAGATGAAAAGAAACTCTAATCCTAAAGCAAGCGAACCCCGGATGGAGAAACAGAAACACAGAAGACAGTTATGTCCTTGATGTTTATGGCGCTGACACACACGCTCTGGACTCTGCCTTCTGCTTTGGTTTAAGATTCAGAGGAAAATAAATTTCTATACAGTTTAAAGCAGTCTGAGTTCTGCCCAGTTCAGTCGAAGCAGATCAAGCCTACAGCAGTTTCATGGACTAGACTATGTTCCTCGGACTCAGGTGTATCCACACGTTACACAGCATCTGGCCACCTTGCCTGCAACTTCATCCCAGCTGTTTTCCCTTTCCCTTCGTTCTTCCTTCCTTCCTATTATTCCATGTGTGCATAGTCGTTGTACTAGAGGGCCACTTTGTGAAACTGAGTCTCTCCTCAAGTCTCTCCTGCAACCTTCACATGGGTTCTGGGTATCACATTCAAATGTGGCCCTCTCTGGTTCTTTTTAATTTTTTGTTTAGTTTGGATACAATGTCTTCCTATGTGTCCCAGGCGTGTCACGAACTTGCTGTGTAATCCAGGCTGACCTCAAACTTGCTATCCTCTTGCCTCTGCCTCCTGAATACTGGGATTGCAGGCATGTGCCATCATGCCCAAGTCCAGTTTTTCTTGAAGGATAAAGACATGTGCACATATTTAGTATAGTCCTTAGGATATAGACATAGTACATAGTCAGCACTTCGCAGTACTTTGGTGATAAAGTAGATAGAACACAACTTAGATACGTGCTATAAACATAGGTGTAGAAACCACAGTGATGTTCATACATCACGAAGCCCCTTTTGAAACTGTGTCTTTACCTTCACAACATAGTTCCATATAGCTCTTCAGAATTGACAAGCCTTTGAATTCAGGACAGTTCTGTCATGGAAAACAAGTGCACTTCCAAATCCTATCCATTCAGCTTCCAAATGTCTATATTTCCTTGGCCAAAGCAAGTCTGCTTTTGCTGTGCCGTCTGACTGCAAGAATCAACTAAAATTCGGTTTCTACTCTCTCCTC